CAATCAACAACATTGACAAAACATAGAATCCTCATGGAGCAAGTACTTCAATAGGAAAATAACAATCAACCCCACTACAGTATTCCTCAGCGAGGAGCAACTTCCCCCCCCCGTCTATCGAACGCTTTTTTCCTTGGACTGATCATAAAAGGATCCCTTTGGGCCATTTGAAAAAGAAGATGCACAACCAATTTCGACAACACCAACACCACCCTTGACAACACTCTCATCAGCATCAAACAAACTATATAGACAGAGATCCAACCTCTCTGGAACAAAGTGAAAAAATAATTACCAGAGGACATAGACAAAAGAACAAAATTAATCAAGACATTCACTTCCTTAAGCCTGGGCAACGGAATTCTCGGATAAATTTCTGACGAATAACTAATGCTTAATGATTGGCTTGATGTATTAGCAGATACCAACCAGATCCTAATCACGCCCCCAAGGGCAATACAAACCCCACGAGCAGATGCCCTAAGTCCACCACTCATTCATACAGGGGACGAACTAATCTAAACACGATCCACCAACAAGATGTGGATCCCTGTCCATTGAACAAGTACAACATAGTGCAGATAACAATCTCCCACCCCCAGATGCCTCGACCAAAACACGACACCCCTCCACCCCCACTCAACGCAACTGGCCCCCAGCTCGACAGATGCCTCTCATTGGCCCCCAACCACAGCACCCAACTCCCCTCCATCCTCACTTAACACCCCCCTTACGCAAAACCCAGGCAAGGAGACAGGCAACCGGTCTGTAGCTTATTAGCAATTAGAATAACATCAGGTCAGGTAGGGTTCAGGGTTTTAGCAAAAGGTGGACAACTTATAGGAGTCAGGACCCAGGAGAACACGAGACATTAGCTTGGGTTTACGTTTTAGGATAAAGACGTTCGGTAAAAAAGAGAGGTTCAGACAGCAAGATAAAAGAAAGACGTTAGGGTTAATGGGTACAATTGATTGATTAAAGAGACTCCCACTGTCCCTATCTACCATCTTGTGAAAGTTAGGGTCGAGGGTTTTAACACCCGGAGGATCAGTCGAGAGGAACAGGGCCGCGAAAGACCAGCGAAAGGAAGGTTAGCACACCACATCAGAAGTTCTAGCAAGCAATGCCAACAAGGCAGTCCAATTGACTGAGAGGAACAGGTCGTAGTAGCCAGACAAGACTGGCAGAAGTATTCAGAATAACCGCCTCAGACAGCAACAGAATAAGACAGGCTAACTTAGGCAGGGGTGAAGTTCAATACATCCTTCCCCAAGCAAGTAATCAATGTCGGCTTTCGGGCCTCCACACAATAAGGGGGAGGAGCATGTGTGAGTTTCCTTTGTAATTTCTCCAACTTGCCGGGGGAATAGGAACCGGACTAACGCTCCCCAAAATATAAATGGAGCCAGAACCCTGAAGGTCTGTTTTTTTATGAAAAAAAAAGAAAAGAAAGTACAAGTGAAACAGTGAATGCAAGGAATCAGTCAACAATAACAAAAATTTTATATGTGCGTCAATGGCTAATTCATCAAGGGTGTCACCCTCTGCTATGAAAACAAGAAAATTAAAACAAACTTAAAAAAGAAGAACGGATTGACAAGGGCTCCCTGAAACAAAAATAACAGCGGAGAAGATTTTTCACTAACGTGACAATCAGAAATTGCAGTATAGTCCCAGGACAGTTCCCTGGTGTCTCCCTAGCACAAGAACAACAGCAGAGGAGTATAATTTCCTTTTTTTTTGTCTTGAGTGTAATGATTAGCCTGGAGTTCATTTAAATCGTGATACATCCATCCAAATCATAAACTTACCTTGACAAGACAAGTCATGACACTTAGTGTGACATGTTTGCGCATTGCAGTTGACAACATACATGACTGCCACAAATAGACACAGAAAAGAAACATGAAGAGAAAAAGAAAATGTTAGAAACACATCATATTTAAATTATTAGAGAGCTTAAGAATATTATTTGTTGGGATGAATGCCTAAATTAAAAACAACACAAAGAGTGTTGTAACTGGAAGGGGGGTATAAATTGGTTTTAAAGGAGCTAAAGGGGTTTAAAGCATGGTTAATCCGGACCCGCACAACCGGACAACCGGACGAAGACACCGGACCCGTGTTTGGATCAAACCGGACGTTCGGTTCCCCAGACATCAAACCGGACATCCAAACATCCGGACCCGGACAGTCCGGCTTGCTATGTCGGTGACTTGTTGAAAAAAAAAAAAAAAAAAAAAAAAAAAAAAAAAGGACACAGACACATACAGGTTTATGGGACTGGTCGTATGTGCTAATAAATTCAGCATTAATCATATCGGAAATCTTAAGTTCATTATGGTGGAACTTCGACAGCAAGACGGCGGCAGACCTCCACGGCAACCTCCACGGCAAGACGGTGACGACACTGCTGCGGGCGGGGACTTCGGCGGCAGGGCAGACCTCTACGGCAACCTCCAAGTCCGAAATTCGCGTCCTCCCGCCAGTGGGGCTGCTACTATCATAATACTTTCAAATTTCACTCAGAGGCCCTTTCAAGGCCTGTCTAGTTGGGGTGCCTGATCTCGAAAAACCAATGCAACAATTTTCCGGGGTACCCCAGGCCAAGGTGAACGGCCTGGGATCCCAAAAAAAAAAATTCAAATTTTTTTATTTTGGGGTCCAACTGGACCCTCCTAACCGGACACCGGACCCGGATACAAGACACCGGACTGTCTGGATCGGGATCCGGACGTCCGGTTGGTAACCATGGTTTAAAGGGTGCTGCCTTGGTTTGATTCTATCATTTCCTTTTTTATCTCCAATTTTGCGAGTTTCTGATGTGACCCTCTGCCAAAAGTCGTTTATATTGCAATTCTACACAACATATTTTCTTTCTTGTTTTTTTTTTTTTTTTTTAATTTTACGATTATTATTACTTTTTGCGATGAGGCTGCCTGGGACTCTGCCCGAGGATTATGCCTGGCCGAGCAGGGTGCTCGGGCAGCCAGAAAAACAGCCTACTCAGCTTCTTACTATTCTTCGAGTGTGGGTATAAATTTGTTTTGAAGATGCTAAAAGGGTTCAGAGGGGGATCCATCTTTATCTCAGATTCTGTGAGGAAGTTAGATGTGACCTTCAGCTAAAAGTCGTTTGTATTGCAATTCTACACAACATATTTTCTTTGTGAATTTTTTTAGAGTTTATTATTATTAATATTGTTTTTGCGCTGGAGAACCGAAACACTGAAAGCACTTCGGGATATGATATACTAGATGGTAGAAAATCGACTAAGTTAAACACCGAAATCACGAAGTGCATTTTCGGTACCGAAACACCGAAAGCATTTCAGGATAAAATGATGTAGATGATAAAAAATTGACTAAGTTAAATACTGAAATCTCGAAGTGCGTTTTCGATACCAAAACATGGACAGCACTTCGGATTCGGTACCGAAACATGTACAACACTTCGGGATATGATGTATTAACCATTGAAATCCCGAAGTGTGTTTTCGGTACCGAAACACCGAAAGTACTTCGGGATATGACTTTGCAAAAAATACTAAGTAAAACATCGAAATCCCGAAGTGCGTTTTCGGTACCGAAACACCGAAAGCACTTCGGGATATAATGTATTAAACACCAAAATGTCAAGGTGCGTTTTCAGTACCGAAACGCCGAAAGCACTTCAGGATATGATATACTAGATGGTAGAAAATCGACTAAGTTAAACACCGAAATCCCGAAGTGCATTTTCGGTACCGAAACACCGAAAACATTTCGGGATAAAATAATGGAGATGATAGAAAATCGACCAAGTTAAATACCGAAATCCCGAAGTGCGTTTTCAGTACCGAAACACGGCTAGCACTTCGGGATATGATGTATTAACCACCGAAATCCCGAAGTGTATTTTCGGTACCGAAACACTGAATGCACTTCGGGATATGACTTCGCAAAAAATACTAAGTAAAACACCGAAATCCCGCAGTGTGTTTTCGGTACCGAAATACCGAAAGTACTTCGGGATATGACTTCGCAAAAAATACTAAGTAGAACACCGAAATCCCGAAGTGCGTTTTCGGTATCGAAACACCGAAAGCACTTCGGGATAAAATGATGGAGATGATAGAAAATCGACTAAGTTAAATACCGAAATCCCAATGTGTGTTTTTGGTACCGAAACACGGATAGCACTTCCGGATATGACTTCACAAAAAATACTAAGTAAAACACCGAAATCCCAAAGTGCGATTTCGGTACCGAAACACCGAAAGCACTTCGGGATAAAATGATGGAGATGATTGAAAATCGACGAAGTTAAATATCGAAATCTCGAAGTGCGTTTTCGGTACCGAAACACGGATAACACTTCGGGATATGATGTATTAACCACCGAAATCCCGAAGTGCATTTTCGGTACCGAAACACCGAAAGCACTTCGGGATATGACTTTGCAAAAAACACTATGTACAACACCGAAATCGCGAAGTGCGTTTTCGGTACCGATACACCGAAAGCACTTCGGGATATGATGTATAAAACACCGAAATGTCGAAGTGCGTTTTCGGTACCGAAACACCGAAAGCACTTCGGGATAAAATGATGGAGACGATAGAAAATCGACTAAGTTAAATACCGAAATCCTGAAGTGCGTTTTCAGTACCGAAACACGGATAGCACTTCGGGATATGATGTATTAACCACCGAAATCCCGAAGTGTATTTTCGGTACCAAAACACCAAAAGCACTTCGGGATATGACTTCGCAAAAAATACGAAGTAAAACACTGAAATCTCGAAGAGCGTTTTCGGTACCGAAAGACCGAAAGCACTTCGGGATATGATGTATTAAACACCAAAATGCCGAAGTGCGTTTTCGGTACCGAAACACCGAAAGCACTTCAGGGTATGATATACTAGATGGTAGAAAATCGACTAAGTTAAACACCGAAATCCCGAAGTGCATTTTCAGTACCGAAACACCGAAAGCACTTCGGGATATAACTTCCCTGAACTAGTAAGTTAAATCTCGAAACCACTTTTCGGTGTTCACAAAACCCGAAGTTATAAACAACCATTTTGTCTTCGCCAAACCTAAACACTGATTTCGCTAACTTGTTTTAGCGAATTCGGTATCCTTTCGCGAACAAGCTTCGCTGCTAGGTTCGGCGAATTTTCCGGGGTCCATTAACCACGAGTGCAGATGGCCGCCCGCGGATTGCACGAACACTCCCCTTAGCGCGAGAATGTCGTCAAGGATCGACAGTTTCTCGACATCAGTCATGTCGGCGAGACACTGCCAACAGAACATGTTTGGCTCCTTCACGACCACGAAAAACTTGTCGTCCGCTTGCGTTTTCTTTTTGGTCGGAGGCGGCGGGACCCGGACCAGCCACCCCATCTTCGTTTCACCAGCCGCCCCTTTCGAGCCCATTTCCGGAATTGCTTGTAGACCCGGAGATTTGTCTGGCATGTATTTGTCCGGCCTCGACAATGGAGTCTTGCCGTCGCCACCCAACAACTTCCCCTCCGCCCATTTCGCGTAGAACTCCATGGCTTTGCGGAAAACGTCATCACCGGCCGTCACGAGGGGCATCCACTGCCTCAATGCATTGCCAACGGCAGCGACATACTCCTTGTCGGCGAGCGACAAATCTTTTTCTGCCAACGCCCAGTGAGATTCGTTCGGACTCTTTCCCAAAATCAGCTTTTGGAATTCGAAAAACTTTCATTTTCCGGGCTCCTTGCCAGAAGGGTTCCCTTGAATGACCATCGGCCTTCCTTCTTTCTCCCATGCCTCTCGCATGTCCAAGAACGCGGCCTTCTGCGATCGCTGCTTAGACATCTTGTGTCTCGTATTCTCGTTGAGACTGACCTGCCTATAGCCCGCGAAATCTTGGTCGGAGACCCACACTACTCTCGCCGGCCACGAGTGCATCTTCCACAAATCGAATATTGGCTCACCCTCCAACTCCTTCACAGCAGTCACGGTGTGTTGACTGGTAACAGGGTAATAGTAGTGCTTGTCCTTGTCCTCTAGCTTGAAGACATCTTTGTGAACCCTGTCAGCTTTCTCCGGCCTACGCGTCACCGGCTTGTAGATGGGTGCCAGAACCAAAGGGTTTTTCGTCCAGATCTTCCCCCTTTTCTCGCGGAATTGACTCAGCATCGCAGCCTTGATGTCGTCCACGGTTTTGCGATTTAGATTGCGGTGGTTGTAATATCTTTCCCAAGACGGGATGTCGCAGACCTTCCTGTGGTCGATGAGCAGTTGGACGGGGAGCTCCTTCTCCACGATTTCACCGCCATCGTTCCGCTCGTATTCGAGCCAGAATGTTGCCGCTTCGTCGCACTCATCACCGACAGGCCGTTCGCCCCCACTCGCCGCCTCAGCAGTCTTCCGCCTTCGAGGTTTCGTCTGGCCATCGCCTTCTTCAGCTGCCACTTTCCGTTTCAATTTCCCTGAAGGTTCTCTCGCGGCCGCAGCGCCTGGATCAGTCGAATCTCCTCCACCCACGACTTGTCCTTCGCGAATTGTCAAACCGCCGGGCCTTCTCACTTTCTTACTTGTCGTCCGAGGCACGTTCTCCAACGTCACTTCCATCCCCCCCCATCACCGCCTCCGATTTTCCTCTCATCCTCTTCATGCGGAGGGTTCCTTCCGCCACCTCCTCTCGCACCATCCTCTGTCGCTCGCGCTTCTTCTCCGAAAAAGTCTGCTCCCCGCCAGAGCTTTCGCGGACAGCGCCCATCCCTTCAGCCTCATTCCCTCTGACATCTTGCCCCGATCTGCTGGATTCTCTTCTCGTCTCATCTCGAAGCGAATACGTGTCGCCGCCGCAACGGACCTTGATGAGTTTCGGAGTACCGACCCGTTGAGTCCCTGTAGCCTGAGAATGCAAATCCGACGTGTTCCCAGGAGCATCCTGGCCGACCAGTGTGTGAACGCTGCGCGCGCGCCCCTTGACCCGACCCCCAGCGTCTTGAATCGGACTCCCACACCCCACTGCCTCACCTGGAGTTTCTTGAGCCAAGCCGGACGACCCCTCATGGGGTGGCAGAAGCCGAAAAACATGTTCTCGCGGAAGAACCGGACGTTCTTTCGACACCATCATCGCGAGATCGAGATATTGCTCTGGCGATGGAAGACGCTTGCTGCCGTCATCGTAAAGGCCTTTGAAGTGAAAGCACAACGTCATGTTCGAGCCGTACCCCGCGAAACTCTTGATGGTCACCAGCACACCCTTAACACCTCTGAGAGGCAGTCTGCACTCGTCGTACAAGCCGTTAGTGTGCAGCTTGAGCAAACCTCCATGAGTCTTGGCGCACAAGACGATGGTACCGAGAGGAAGAACGTTGACCGCTCCCCAGGGTCTGGAACGCAAGTGGGTCGCATGAAAACAACTGGCCCAAAAAGGTCCCCCTGAACAACGAAGTCCAAAAACCATTGTGCTCCCATTGCGTGCATATACTGAGGAGTAGATTGCTGTAGAGGTCGTCCCTCCCCGGGGGCAGATGGTCCAGCGCTTGTGGATGTGTTCTTTGCAGACGCCATTGTACTCCCACCTGTTGACTAGCACGCCCAACCTCAGACCAACTCGGATGACTAATACGCCCAACCCCAGACCACTACAGAAGCTAAGTGCAAACTAACTCGGACTTAACGAAATGGAGGACGAAAAGGACGTAAGAGATGGGTGTTCGAAATGCACACGAAGTCACAACAATCGGGCGTAGAATCGAGGAAGAGGTGATTTATCTTCAGGAAAGTACGAACTAACTCGGAGTTTCGGGAATGAAGTCGTCTACAGTAAGTACCGCATGGGTATCGACAAGGGGGAACCGACGTGCAGTTCCGGGCTCAAGGAAACCGAAGAATGAGATTGGTGTTTGAAATGCAAACGAATACAAAACAACTGGGTGGCTGGCAGAGTGAGTTCGGAGGGAAGATGACAACTCTTCGGAAAGATTGCGACCCGAGTAGATGCCCTCGAAACGAGTAAGATGTGGTTTATCGACAAGTGTGAAGGGTGTCGACAAGTGCGAACTAACTCGGAGTTGTGTAGACAAGACAACAATGGCAACTCGCAGCACTAGGGGAAAGCGCGAACTAACTCGGAATTGTGGAACTGAAGACCTGAAAGACGCACGAAACGAATAAGATGTGGTTTATCGACAAGTGCGAACTAACTCGCAGTTCTGCTGACAGGACAACAATTGCAACCTGAAGTACAAGGGGAAAATACGAACTGACTCGGAATTGTGGAACTGAAGACCTGGTTTATCGACAAGTGCGAACGGTGTCGACAAGTGCGAACTAACTCGCAGTTGTGCAGACAAGACAACAATGGCAACCCGCAGCACTAGGGGAAAGTACGAACTAACTCGGAATTGTGGAACTGAAGACCTGAAAGTCGCACGGGATGGGTTGTCAACTCCTCCAGCAGTGTTGCTCAAAAAGTGCGAACTAACTCGCATTTGTGGAAGTAAAAAATTGCCTTTAATGAAATATGTGTCTAACTTTGGAAAAACTGCGAATTACCTCACAGTTGTCACTCCTCGAACACTATATGTCGCAAACTGGGAACTGACTCGCAATATATCTCTCTCTATATATATGTGTCTATATATATATATATATATATATATATATATATATATATATATATATATATATATATATATATATATATATATATAGTCGTTTGTTGTCCTCTTCTCCCTCTCTGCCTACGGTTTACCGGGCAGTTCTGTTTGTGACGATATATATATATATATTATATCAGGTCGGCGACCTCACAAGGGACAGGTGAGCGAAAATCGAGAATTGATTCGGTATTCAGTGTAGCAATATAACTCTATATATACATATATGTATCTATATCTATCTATATATATGTATATATGTAGATATCAGGTCCGCGACCTCACAAGGGACAGGTGAGCGAAAATCGGGAACTGATTCGGTGTTCAGTGTAGAAACTAGGTATTGATTCAGGGTTCGCCATGTGCAACGACGACTACAAGTTGCGAAGGGGATCGAGCAGCTTTATACCAACGTTATCGTGGCTACAGCGAAAGTTAATCGAGCTGCAGAACGCGGATCGGCTATGGCGGACGAAAGTGGAGGGTGGAGAAAAGGCATCAGAACACGTCCACTGGCGAAACAACAAAACGGGAATTGATTCGGGGTTCAACAGAACGCGGCTGCGGCGTTATATCCTGCAGGTACAGACAGGGCATCTGGGAATGTGTTCGGACGTCGGACACAGAATATGACAACTCAAGTTGTATAATTTTACCTTCGTCGTGCGTTGAGCGAGCAACCAACATCGGACGGATATAAATGTGCGACCACCGAACCAGCTATGGTGGAGGGATATCGAGCTAGGAAAAGCAAAGAGCGAAAAGCGAAGAGCGAACCGAACACAATGTGGCAACTGCGGACGGAGCGAAGAGCGAAGAGTGAGTGGGCTACGGCGGAAGGTGGGGGGGGCTGAAGCCCAAAATCTCAGAATGCGTGCAGAAGCGATGGCGCGACTTGATCTGTGGAGCGCCAACAAAAGGGATAACTCGAGGGCTGCAACGCCTTTTACACTTTGCTGCAGCAGGCCTCGCGTCGGGATCAAGGTGGGGCCGAATCGATTCGCATATCGCACCCCTGGGCCCATAAAACGCAATCAAGGTGAGGTCGAATCGATTCGCGTATCGCACCTCTGGGCCCATAAAACGCCAGGGCCTATAAACGGTAAGGGGTACCGGAAATTGTCAGCCGTCGATCAACAATTTTCAACCGTGCAGATGAACGGAGCCACTGATATGCCAGTGGCCCCAAAATCTCCGTCAACTCCGACATGCAATGATGTGACAGTTCCCGAAAACAAGGGGCAGGCAATATCATTTTCGCAGTTCTAATCTGGACCGTCGATCGGCATGATCCGACGCACGAGGTCAGGCGCAAGAATCTATAAGGTGCGGCGATTCATTGTGCGCCGAGGCGGTTCGTTGCGCGCCGAGGCCAGGCGATGGTTTATTTTCCGCCGAGGCGCGGCGATTCGTTGTGCGCCGAGGTAAAAAATACCGGAAATCTATAAGTTCCGGTGTCGCTGTCATTAAGACATTTTGCAAATGTCAACGGCGTTGAATATCGATGCGCTTAGCCATGCACCATCGCCATCGATGCGCTTAGCTCATCGCCTTCGCCAACGCTCCCCATGCACCATCGCCATCGATGCGCTTAGCTCATCCCCATCGTGACACAAAGTTGTATTCCCCATCGCAGCCGTCACGCTTGCCTGACCATCACAGTGCTAACAATCGTCATCGCAACGCTGGTTCCATCGATGCGCCATCGTTATCGCTGCCATCGCAACGCTGGTTCCATCACTGCGCCATCTCTCAATCGGTGCGCTATCGCTGCCATCACTATCGCTATCGCTGCCATCGCTATCGCTGTTCCATCGCTTTGCCATCGCTCTCCACCGGTGCGCCATCGCTATCGTTGTTCCATCGCTGCGCCATCGCTCTCCACAGGTGCGCCATCGCTATCGCTGTTCCATCGTTGCCATCTCTATCGCTACCGCTTCATTGCTACGCGTTCCATCGCTGCGCCATCGCTCTCCACCGCAGCGCTGGCCATCGCTATCGAAGCCCTGGCCAGTGTTATCCCACCGCAGCGCTGCGTGATTTCTCTCTCCATCGCCGCACGATCCTTCTCCATCGCTGAGTGATCACTCTCCATCTCACTCCATCACTGCGCGATCTCTCTCGACCACCGGGCAACCTCCATCCTTGCCCCAGAGACTCTCCATTACTCCTACGTGATCCCGCCATCGCCATCGTATTGTTGTTTCAGGCCGTCGTCGGTGCAGCCACCCATCACTGTGGAATCGCACGAAACAAGTGACAAATATGCTTAACGAAGGTTTAACTCGCTGAAACTGATGTTGTACAATAACAAATTTTGGTCATCGCTGTGCCTTCCCTCTCCATCGCTGTGGCATCTCTAACCATTGTTGCGCGTCCTCTCTCCATCTCTCTCCACCGATGCGCGATCTCTACCGACTTTTCGTCATCTATCCCCATCGTTGCGGTATCTTTCCTAATTTATCTCCTTCCTCATCTATCTCCTTCGGTGTGCTATCTTTCCTAATTTATCTCCTTCGTCATCTATCTCCATCGCTGCGCTATCTTTCCTAATCTATCTCCATCGTCATCTATTTGCTTCGGTGCGCCATCTTTCTCCATTGTTGTGCTATCGCTAACCATCGCTGCGCCTGCTATCTCCATTGTTGCGCCATGTTTCTCCATCGGTGCGCAATCTCTCTCTCTCTCGCTGCGGCACATCTCCCAATCAGTTCGCGATCTCTTTCCCTTCCTGCGCCATCTACCTTCTTCCCCGGAATATACAACGCACTTTCATTGTAGTTGTCTTTAGACTGAAAGATGACCCGAATTCAGCTGTAATGACCGGACGTTGTATTCAGGGAAAGACTGTGACTCCATTCATCTCTCTTGGTGCGCCATCTCTCTCATTCGGTGCGCCATCTCTCTCCATATATTTTCATCGATGCGCCGTCTGCCCATCGCTTCGCAATCTTTCTCCATCTTAAAAAATAGTACGTCATCTTTCCCTATTTCTCTCTTGCGACGATCTGTGGCTTGTACTACACGCAGAACAATCCGAAAACAACTTGCACTTCTTCCCGCAGTTTCGTAATGGAATGCTCGTTTACAAGTGCGAATTCATTCGCTCTTGAACCAACCAAACCCTTAATTTGTTACTGTTTAGTCCATAGGTTAGAATTAACTCGCACTTGTACCCCCAGTTTCGTAATGAAAATGCCCGTTTGCAAGTGTGAATTTATTCGCTCTTCAACCAACCATCCCCCTAAATTTCTTACTCCTTAGTTCATAAGTCTCAGTTTCATAGTGGAAATGCTCGGTTGCAAGTGCGAATTTATTCACTTTTCAACCAACCATCCCTCTAAATTTGTGACTCTTTAGTTCATAAGCCCCAGTTTCATAATGAAAATGCTCGTTTGCAAATGTGAATTTATTCGCTTTTCAACCAACCATCCCCCTAAATTTGTTCCTCTTTAGTCGATAAGTCGCCTCTCTTCTCGGCCCAAAAGAATGAAGTCCTTTTGTATTTGCAAGTTAACTCGCCACTCAACCAACCACGAAGGCAATT